GTGAAGTGTGTAATTGTAAATTATGCGCAGAGGGGGACATTTATGTATAATATATTCTTAAGATACTTATACGCTTTTACCCTAGAGTATTAGTATTTATACTAGCTTACTAGCTAGCTATTAAAGAATAGTAAAGTTATAGGCCTATTAAGATAGATAGACTAGCAGGAGTATTATACCTACTAGAATTAGAACAATTTAAGAACGTGTTCTTAACATGTTACCTATATAGCCTGTATAAGCACCTCTTCTCTTATTAGGTAAGAGCTATCTTTATATTACTAAACTAGTATTATATACCTATACCCTTAGCTATATAATTAAGGGTATACTAGGAGAATAGCTATATACTTAATAATTACTAGTATAAGTAGTAGTCCTTAACTATTACTATAAGTAAGGTATATATTATACCCCTATAATATATTACTAACCTATTCTAAACTTATTCTATTTACTTTTACTTACTTCCTTAATACTACTACTACTATCCTCCTCTAGCACTTTATATAGTTGCCTAAATTTATCTCTAATATTACTATCTAGTTTAGATATATTATCTAGTACTACTATACTAAACTCTAGTATAGTATTTAGGAATACTTATATATTATTAAGAATAGGTTTAGAATATATTTAAAAAAGATAGTAATAAAAACTACGTTTACTTACTTAAATTATCCTAATTTATACTTAACTATAGGCTAGTTTATATAACTATAAAAATTTGCCGCTGTAACGTAGACTTGAACCTACAGGGATATTCTAACCACTTGGAGTAAAGCCCAAGTCGCCCGACGCTAAACCCATGGTCATATGACATGCCACCACACATATCCCCACCCGGGCTACTCTAGGAAATGCCCAGAGTCGGGAACGGCGTACCGTAGGCAGAACCGCTAGGCTATTTCAGGTAAGGCGTCGCTGGCACCTCGCACGGACCGTGGTGGCCAATGCCCCCGACGATAGGTACACGGCACGACCGCGCTCTACATAAACACGACACGAACACGCAAAGGATTCACGGGCTTGGGCTTGCGAGATGGCGTATCAGTATCTTATTTCTAGGTTTGTGGCGTTTTGTTATGATGGGGTGGAGTTTGTACACTATGCACACTTTATATCCCTCCTTGCCCCCCTCCCTCATCCACACTAACCCACACAACAGAACACTCGACCCCTTATTCGCAATCTCCATTGGCCTGGCGGCGGCATATACACGCATCAGCCGCGAGGAGAGGGAGAAGGGGCGGTCCACGCAGGAGAGCTTGGATGTGGTGAGGCGGAGGTGGGATTTGGCGTGGCGAGGTGGGGTGGAGGGGAAGGGGGTTTGATGGTGATGGGTAGGCTGGGGTGAGAGAGGGGGTGGTTGGGGGTGGGAAGAGGGGCAAGAAGGGAGACGGAGATGATGATGTTGATATATCAACATACTCGCACACTCCCCACACTATGAAATCAGGACCACTTCCAACACAGAAGACACTCGAAAACACCTCTTCAAAAGGCAAATATAACGCATAAACCGACTAAAAAAAATAACTATACCAACCCATGATCTACGCATAAAACCTCCCAATGTACATCGTACTCCATCCCCTCTTAACCCACAAAACAACAAATCCCGACAAAACCAAAAGCCAAAAAAAATTATCACACACAAAATAACCACGACCACATCGATCACTAGTATTATTCATGTCTGTACACGCCTCC